TATATAAACATAGCAACACTAAAATGATTACAATGTGTGCCAGGCTGACAGCATTTGATGACACATAAAACTGCCCTGTTGCATTTATTTTTTCTGTTTTAGTTTAGTTTAGATTTAGTTAAAATTATGCATATACATCCACATATATCCATTAAAAACTCTTGGATAACACTGAAGTGAAAAGCCTTTTCTCCCATTGAGGTAATTAAAATAGTTAAAATAGAATAACCATCCGTTTTCCCTTTTTTTAATTTCTGTTTTTAAAATGAAAAACAAATGACCAAGAAGAACCGTACACCGACTCATGTAACATACACTATATTGCCAAAAGTATTCGCTCACCTGACTTGACGAGCTTAAGTGACATCCCATTCCTAATCCATAGGGTTTGATATGACGTTGGTCCACCCTTTGCAGCTAGAACAGATTCAACTTTTCTAGGAAGGTTGTCCACAAGGTTTAGGAGTGGTTTTAGGGATTTCGACCATTCTTCCAGAAGCACATTTGTGAGGTCACATACTGATGTTGGACAGAAGGCCTGGCTCTCAGTCTCCACTTTAATTCATCCCAAAGGTGTTCTATCCGGTTGAGGTCAGGACTCTGGGCAGGTCAGTCAAGTTCATCCACACCAGACTCTGCCATCCATGTCTTTATGGATCTTGCTTTGTGCACTGGTGCACAGTAGTTTGGATGGGTGAGAAATACCTTTGGCAATATAGTGTACAGTATGTGAATGCACAAATAAATTATCGCTTATCAGCAGCATGTCAGGTGAAAATTTTGTGTCAATACAAAATTATTGGCTGGCCACTGAAAAACAGTGTGCTGGTAACTTACTCAAAACTTACACCAAACTTCTGCAACTTACACAATGTGATTGGACAACATTTGCATTTGGATGCATTTGCATAAGTTGTCTATAACGTTACAGTGTGACAGGATCTTCACTTTGCTTGAAATATTTCCTGCTGCTGCACTGGAGTTCATGTTCTGTGATAATGCAATGAACAATAAAACAAGTTTGTGTTGACTTACTGGTTTCCAGGTTGCATAGGGCAGCGTATGCTGTATCCAGGCTGCTGAGAGAAGGATCCCCAGGAACCAGGGGAGGCATACACTGAACTCTACAAACACAAAACAAACATCTGTCAAGCTAAATAAGGGTACAGCGCTTCCATTTTAAATCACCATAACTAGCAAAGAGGTCTCAGTAAAAGACCCCACATACTCTGTCTAATTCGAAGCCACGGAATCAGCTCTCATTAACGTAGCTGCATGAAGAAAATTGCGTCATTCTGTTCGCAGAGCAGCTTCGCCCACCTCTTCTCGACACAAGGCCCAGGTTGAGTATTGTGTGATTGGTCAGAAGTGTGTTCATGCTGAAATGTTCTCAGACAACAATACTGGCATTTTGCTTAAACCACTCGGGCTTCCAGGAGCCAGATGTGCGTCCAAACAACATGGATATGTTTGAGGCGCAGTTGTCAGAAAGTACGTCCATCTATATGACTCTTCTACACAACTATAACAATAATCAAATGGCTAAAAACACCAGAACAGACAGAGCACAAACATTGTGCAAAGAGAACTCAATCTGCCGAAAAGTACGGCACTCTGTTCGTTACACATCTGATGCCAAATGACAGATATCGGAGTGAAGAGACCCCTGCTGTGCCGTGTGCAGCAGTGGGAGGGGTTTCCCAACAGCTCTGCACCRCGTGTCTCATGATCTATGAAAGGTGTGTGCAAAAACAAAGCATGTGACGGGGACAGGACTGGCTTCAGATCGAGTCTGCTGGGCCCTCGAAGTGAAACGTGTACACAGAAGTTACTGGTTTCAATCTCATGGGGCAGTTTAAAGCAAATTTAATCTAAAATAGATTTGTTCAAGCCTCATTATTAGTGAACACTGAAACCACAAGCGCATTTTGACAATGAGAATCAATGAATAGGAAGTTCACACCAACTGTTTGACTCCAGCCATTTTGTTCAGAGTTACGYTGCCACCTGCATCTGATAACAGAAAGTGTGCAGGCTTCATTTTGTTTAACAAGCCCTCGCATAATCTGTGCAGCAAAATGAGAAAACGATCATCATCATGTTTTGCTTGTATGTGCTGAGATATTGAGAAATTTTCTGGAATTTCAACCACTTCTACATTATAACAGTGAGGATGGTGAGAAGTTCTTTATTGATGATGTAGATTCCAAAAATAAATAAATGATGTTTCACTTGTCATCAGGGAAGCTTTCTTTTTAATTCACACTCACCAGTTTTGACTAAGAAAGCTCCCTGGATGGGAAGCGAAACATCTTTAGCTACAGAATAGAAGTCCAGTTGTTCTGTTTTTTTAAAAGCTTCTTTGTTCCACTCAAAAAATGAAAAATAAATAAAATCAGGCAATTTCTTTGGCAAAGGRAACTTCAAATAAATCTGACATTGATTTTAAAATATTTATTTCTTATCAGTGCATCCGAAAACAATACTTCATTCTGCAATGTTGTAAAGACTAGTCAGAAAACAAACCAAAGTGATAAGACACCACTAAGTATGAGGAAGGAAAACTCGACGCCTTCATCGCTGATCTCCTCTACATGGAATTGCAAATATCTCCACAAGTGGGATCACTTCCTTTTTCTACAATTTTAGATGACAGATATTTTCCATGTCACATGAGTGTTAAGATGTCTAATAGTTTTTGTACTTTTAGCTTAAAGGGATCCCCGATGAGTTGTAACATTAGATTGTATTTAATAAACATATACTTTAACTGTAAAATAAAGACCATAAAAATACTGTAGGCTGTTCAGTTTTTATCATTTTTAAACTAAAAGTTTAAAAATATATTACACAGACAGGGCCATTTTATTTACATGCAAAGCATTCTGGGTAAATGATGACAACAACTAGGTCCTCGGTGCGAGGCTGCTAGTGAGCTAGAGAGGAGAAGGTAGAAATGACTCAGCCTGTCACTGAAAATATAGATGGAGGACAACAGAGCTGCTTCATGGAAGAAGAACCTCAGCTTAGCCTGTTAGCTTTAACATTAGCCCCAATGCTATCACCATATATATGTATTAGCGCAGTGCTACACATTCTCCTCTCGTCACTGAGGTCCTCCATCCACATGACAGAGAGGGGAACACAAAAATGACTCAGCCTGTAACTGAAAATATGGATGGAGGACCTCAGTTTAGCTTGTTTGTCGCACTAGCTCTGAGCTAATACATATAAGGCAATATAGCGTTGGCGCTAGCACAAAGGCTAACAGGCTAAGCTGAGGTTCTTCTTCCATGAAGCAGCTCTGTTGTTCTCCATCCATATTTTCAGTTACAGTCTGAGTCATTTCTACCTTCTCCTCTCTGTCAACGCTCTCTGGTTTCATTTAAGAGTCGATCATCAGATATTTTCCAAGATTAAACTTCAGGGTGGATATAGCTCGCTCACACCGAGGACCTATCCATGTCATCATTTACCCAGAATGCTTTGCGTGTAAATAAAATGGCTCCATCCATGTTAAAATATATATATTTTCAAAATTTACTAAACTAAACAGCCTACAGTATTTTTATTTCTACAGTTAAATATATGTTTATCAAATAGAGTCTAATGTTACAACTAATCAGGGATCCCTTTAAGGTAGATCTAGGAGGTGTTTAAATGGAAGAGAACATTTATTGAAAAAAAAAAGTTTCAGCCAACAATTCCATTATCAACACTTGTAGGTAAACGCTTACTGATCCTTTMCTTTGAAAAACATGCTTTACACTAACGTGCTTGAGATGTTTTTATGCAAAAAATGTGAAGAAAACATTTTGATATTTAAGAAATGTGGCAAAATACGTGATTTTATCTGTTGCATTATTAATGTTATCTGTTCAATAATACACTCGCACTTATCACGAAAATTTGATGTCACAGGGACTTTAAGATTATCTACTTAGAACAATAAATGTCCCATTCAAAACTCTCAAAATGAAATTCTCAACGGACTTTAATATTAAGGCTTAAAAGCTCTATAAAGCATCAATGCAARGAAAATAAATTCACCTCCATGGTTGAGGGGGCAACAGGGAACAAGCTGCGGTCCAGCTGAGGGCCTTCTGGATGCAGGTAGTTCTCCCCGTCCATGGCCAGCGCTGAGGTGAGGGTGGGCATCAGACCACAGCTTCACACATGACGACCAGCAGAATTAGACGATGCACCCGTTCCCCTCGGCCCACGCGCTGGCTGTGTGTGAAACCGTACGTCTAACAAGGGCAAGTGTTCTCCATGGCATGAGCTAGAAAGTGAGAGATGGGAGGCAAGACAAACAGAGAGGAAAGAGAAGTTGATTTGCTTCTTCATGTCAAACTAAAAACATCAAAACTTTGGACAAATGCGAAAAAGTGTGCCCCGGTTCAAAACTCAAGAAGACAACATTTAAATGCTCTTTTTACAGTGCAAATGCAAACAAATGTGATGAAAAAATAGAACACATTTATCTGAAAAACAAGTAATTTCCTCCCAATGGAGTAAAWAAAACACACTTTAGTCAGGTAACATTAACTACCAACATGAACTAGCTTCTTCATAAAACACTTTGAGAGTGTATTTATTAACTGGTCCCCCTCACTTGCCTGCATGTCGTCTGACATTATCGACGTTTACACTTTCATTAAAGAATCAATTCAAATCACAACAGGAGACACTGCAGAGCTGATCATAAAGATGCAGTAAAGTTACAAAGTCTTCTGCAGTACAGTGTTCACCAATAACACACATATAAAGTATAAGTTGTGTAGCATTTTGCACTCACAGGCTGTTTTATATGTTTTACAACTCAAGCTGCATACGTGTCAAACATAAACAAGTTAGACCAGTTAGACTGGACAGAATGAACAGGGGCACAGAGTTTATTGCAATGCTTCAAAAAGCCTCCAACATTAATTTATTTTTCTTTCCCACATTCACAAGCACACGAGATGGGATGTTTGATTTGGTGCACAATTCAGTGTCAGCTTACATTAAACAATGAATTTCACCTGGGTCAAGATGAATAAACTTTAAACAGCATTACAATTCTGTGAAACATTTACAATGTTGCTTTCAAAGACTCTGGATCAAAGATGTAATATTTTGAAATAAAAAAATCATTAGCTTGACCTCAACCATTAAAATCATCCATCTAGTAAAATATTAAATAGGACTGGTCAACCATGTTTGAAAAATACTTCAGCGTTATCACAGTTGTCACGAGCGTCTTTTATTCCACACTGGGTACTGGTAACCTGCTGCTGGCATGACTTTGAGGTGATCAATTGCCAAGTTGTTTCCAAAACCACTATGGTGCTATTCCAGGCAAGGATGATATTGCTGTGATCTATTTGTTCTCAGAAGTCAGAATTTCCAGAGTTCTAYGTTGAAAAAAATCAATTGAACTGCTCACAAAGCTGGACTACTGACACAGATAGCCAGACATTCCAGACCAGTCTCAACCTGAAAATCTAACAACTCGCATTTGAAAAGTTGTGATAGCTTCAGTTAAACTTCTTATTTGACCTTTCGCTCATTTGCATCTCAGTAATCCAGTCACTCACAGTACTTTCCAACCGTTAATGGGATTAGCAACTGTGAGTCTGAAATCAGAGCAATTCATTCCGTTTGTGATGCTCATCGCCTGGTCAGTGATCACTATCATTAGTGAATCCTTCTGGTTTTCCATGTTGTAAATGGAACTCGGTGAATCTGGGCTTGATGTCATTTCTATATCTGAGTTCAGACATCTGAGATAAATGGAACACAGCATATATTCAGCACAACACTCGTTCCATTTTGTGTTATAATAAGGACTATTTGAGTGGAACACATTTTGAAAAATATGAATGGCTGTGACTCAGTAATTTTTTATAGACCTTTATTTAAGCAGGCAAATCCCATAATTGAGATCTCTTTTGCAAGGAAGACCTAGGCCTGAACACAACCTATTGTACACGTTTTTGGTCTGTGGAAGGTAACCAGAGCGCCCTGAGAAAACCCATGCAAGCATGAGGAAAACATGCAAACTCTGCACAGAAAGAGCCCGAGCCCAAACCAGGGATCAAACCCAGGACCTTTTTGCTGTGAGACATCAGTGCTAAACACTGATGCTACAAATAATGGAGTTGTGTGTACGTGGGTAAATATTTGAATCGTATTTTTGCATAAACACCCCTCTCTAATTCTAAAGACTTAAAAGATCTGGTAAATAATCTCTTACCTTAAACACAATTTTATATTTTTATTTCAGCATATCAAATAAAAAAATAATTATTACTATTTTTTTGAGTGAGGGCGTCTGTCCATTTTGTTTAAATTTCAATCCAAACATATGCCTTTATCTTCAGATGTGACAAGATTTAATTTATACTAATATAATTTAACAAACAACAAACTCTAAATGAAATTATACCATCTTGTGTTTCACCCTACAGTTAATATGTATGTCATGCTTCAATTTTATATCCCTTTCCATCCAAATATTTAATAAATGTTTGTTTTATTTGTTTTCACTGTACACGCTAATGTTTGCATTCAATCTTAGTTTGACTTGTCCCAAAACAATTAGGCTGCTTTCCCACATCTTTCTGTCTTTATTTCAATCCTCCCTCTACTTTGTGACACCCCACAACCCCAGTCTGGACTACATGCCACACGTGTTCACTAAGAACAACGCTGAGGTAAGAAATTCTAATAGAGTTCTTGTGGTTCTAAATAAGAGCTGCTTTGTGTGTCTGAACGTATGTGTGCAAGATATTCCCAACTCAAATCGACAGCAGACACAAAAGAAAGCCATTTTCCCTGCAGGCTGCTGGACATGAGTGAAACAAATGTGGGTGAGTTTAAAGCAAAAGAACCAAAGGCAGATTTCCAAATCGCTCTGTTTGAAGCAAAATAATACGTTTTGTGAGGGGAAAAAAACAACACTTAAGAAATCTCAGGATAAAGTTTAGCAACTTTTGCTGACAAAACTATTTCAGTCAGGACACGTGATAGCTGAAACTGCTCAAATTTTATTAGCAGACAGTCTTCCTGCCACTCCATTACCCTCCAACCTCAGTTCAAAAGGTCTAACTTCTTGCTAAATGTGGTCATTTTTAAAGAAGCAATTCTGTGTCTAATCTGGTCTTAGATCATTTTACCAACAAACATACTGACCACCACAAAACATTCCTGTCTGCTATTAAAAGACATTGTCTCTTGTTGTCCCTAAAACCTCAACCCCTCCAGACAGCTTGAGAATAATCCATACCAATTATTGCACTATATTCCCTTCCTATAAATATTTTTGTTACCAGAAAACAGCAAAGCCCCCTACTCTACTCCCAGCATTGTCAGAAAGGAAGAGGGAGGTAATGAAGCAACCAGGAAAAAATGTTATGTATAATTCAGTTTTTTTTAACTACGTATACTTGGGTTTGAGGGCGGTATGGTGGCTCAGTTGGTAGAGCTGTTGCCTCTCAGCAAGAGGTTTACTAGATCAAAATCCAGCCGGGGACCTTCCTGGGTAAAGTTTGCATTTTCTCTCTGTGCATGCATGGGTTTTCCCTAGATGTAGGTGAGAGAGTGAATGCTCGTTTGTCTGGTTGTCTCTACGTGGCCCTGTGATGGACTTGTTGACCTGTCCAGGGTGTACACCGCCTCTTGCCCTCCTTCACACAGTGACTTATGGGCAAGAGTGACCCCGGCCAACCTGAAAGGAAGAAGCAGGTAAGGATAATGGATGGATGGATACTTGGGCCTCTGAATCTTCATATGACAGTGTAATCTCTTTGATCTGTTCATTTCATAGGTTACTACAGTTATTTTAAGCTGCTCTTGTTTGTGCCTTGCCTTTCCACTTCTTTCCTTGGGTGGTCTGAAACAAGGATGTGGTGAAAAATGATAACATTTCCAGTCTTCCGATTCACAGGAAGGTCCACATCTCAGTCATTTCAAAAGCACATTAAAAGTTAGTATCTACTGGACCATTTACACTTTCAATTCAACCCTACCTTGGCCCAGTGCGGGTTCAGCATCAGTCACTTTAGCATTGTAAAGGCCGACTCAACTGGTGGGGCCCAATTGACCTGGACTTATTCTACCCTGGCCCATGTTGTTTGGATTGAGCAGAGAGCCACCTTGATGTGGGTGGGATCATAATACTAAACAAGTGTAAATCTTGTTTTGTTTTATTTGCAACACAACGATATTGAACATCACCAAGCTCATAGGAAAAGTACTGATGGCTGTATTAAACCATCCACCAGTATGATTGACGAGAGGGCAGGGTGACAGAGAACTATAAGCTAAAGGTAGCTAAAGTTAGCTTGATGTTGTTTAGTTGTGAAAAAATGTTACAGTCACTGCAGACGTTTCACACAGAGTTACACACATCTGTGTGACATAACCCACCTGGTCAGTGAACCAGTCCTGATTGTGTGTTGGTGGCCTCCACTAACCAGCTGGAGAACGGAGTAGTGTGACTCCTTTAAGCTGCTAAGTCACAATTAATGCTCACGAGGAGAACAACCAGCCTGCCTTGTGTGTGTGACATACTATTGACAAATACTCACAGTTATATGTGAAGTTTGAAAATGAAGTTCTAACTCCATCCATATTCTATTCTTCTGAATTCACACAAATATGAATGGCTGATTGTCTCTAATTCGACTTTTTGCTTTTCTAGTGAAAAATAAACACAAACATTTGTTAAGTGTAGTGACAAGAGTAGTACTTGAAGAAAATTATGCACATGGGGGAAATGGTGAATTTTTGWATGAAAGAATCATAAATATATTTCTTCACATTTTACAAAAGATCTCACTATTAAGTAGCTAATCTTCCTTTGTTTTACTTTAAATGGCTTTTCCATCAGTAAACCTGAGCATACAGCATGTATAGACATAATTTATTTTTTAAACAACCAATAATACACAGAACTGATAAAGTACAATAGTTTGTATCCTAAATATTTTAGTGAATATCTTTTTTTAATTTAGTGACTTTCATTACTTTAACACATTTTACACATTATTTTACATATAAATGAGGGGTCATTTTCACGTTCACAAATTATTTTCCTTATTTACCAACAGATTTAATCAGCTGATATTGACCATGTTCATACATATCTACGGTAACCATCCATCCATCCATCCATTTTCTGTACACGCTTCTTCCTTTTCAGGGTTGCGAGGGTCACTGGTGCCCATATCCAGCAGTCACAGTGCGAGGGGCGGGGTACACCCTGGACAGGTTCTACGGTAACTATTTTTACCTAAT